AGTCCTTGTGTGCTCTAGCTGGGCCCTGGCCAGTTGTGCTGATGCCAGGGGCTGGGAGGAATAGTATATTGATAAACTGATTCCAACTGTGCATAATCTTTCAAATCTTAGCCAAATCTCAGTGGGGATGTTTCCTGAGAAAGGGCTGCAGTCCTGAATACATTCTGCTGCTGAATTGTGCTTGTGTAAACACAGAGAAGACAGACAGGCTTCAATGGATTTGGCTTGAATTAGACTGGCAAGTGTGGAACAGATTCTATTCCAAAGTTACTCATGACATTAAGGAAATAACAGTCCCTTGTGTTTAAATAACTCCTTTCATCCCCAAAGAATCTACAACGTTTTGAAGAAAATATATATCATCCTCCAAAGTCATGATACAAGAGCTATTAAAAAAAAAAAAATCAATGGAGAGACTAACTGAATTCAGCCAGGGCTTTGTTTTAGCTGTAAAGCACCATATGACTAAGTGCAATAATGGAATGTCAGAGATCCTGTTTAGCCTGTGGATAAATGAGGAAACAAAGCGTTACCCTCAAAAATATCCAACTTGTAGAATATAATATAAGATCACCTCTTTCTCTCTCATATTAAAATCACAATGAAAACTATTCACATGAATTAATTCTGGTGAATAGAAATAACAAACCCTATATGCCATACCCATATACCTCTGTACTCACTTTTAGTCTTGAACCTGTTAATGTAGAACTAGGCATTGTAAACAACTTCCATTTTTTTCCTTCTTTCGTCATGGGAAAACTACTCCAGGCGATTTTAAACATTCAGAACTCTACTAATTTCTGCTCAGGCTAGTAAAAATGCACATGCTTTTTCCAAGCTTACTCTTGCAAGTTACCTCAGAAGAAGTTCCTGTATGTAGGTCAAATATAGTTACTAGAAAAGTTACTGCTGAGATGACAAGAGGACACCTATGTTGTCTACACTGAGCAGCCCTTCCTATTCCAAGGCACAGTGGGGGAAGTAGTCCAGCTTGTCCATCAGTTGAGAGTTATCTCTGTGGTTGAGTTGGCATCACAGGAGAAAGGAACAGATTTGCATTCATTAAATAGAAGCAAAGAAGGAAGTTACAAAAAAAAAAAAAGAGAAAAGAGAAAATGCTGATGCATGTACTCTTTAAGACAATACTTTTTATCACATGTAGGCTTTTAATTAAAAACTTATTTATGACATTAAATACTAAAGATGGTTTCCTTCTTCAGAAATTAATAAACTTTTGTTCAAGAACTCACAGTGAACGATACTCAGATAACAGATCCATGTCATAGCAGAAGCCATAATTTAATTTCTTTCCTAAGTGAAACAAATTCTGTCCAAAAGCAGGCATTTACTTTTGAGATGCCAGTTTCAAGAATGAGACAATAAAAAATGTTCAATTAAAAAATTCTCACCAGGAAATGCTAGTAAAAGGGGGTGTTCTTTTTACATAAACTTTGTGAACACTGGCAAAGTTTTAAAATGCCGAAATGAAAAAAAAACAAAGCTTGTACGCATGGCAACATAGGAACAACTGAGGCAGTTAATTCTGCTTCATTTGTATGTGGGAATAAAAACCTTAAAAGTAATCCATTCTGATTTTTTCCATAAAGAAATAAAGAGAAGATCTTTTAAACTAAAGACATAACAGAAGCACAAGAAGAAATACAGGCTATTCAACTAGACCTATTAGCAGGATTAAACTGACTTCAGTTATCTGTTGAGTGAGAGACAGACTCCTTGGTGTGAACATCTTAATAGGCACCCACAGAAAACAGACTGGATTAATCTAGTTCTATATTTTTAAATGGTAGCTGTACATGCTGATGTACGATCTCAAGCAACAGCTTTAAACAAAATTAAGAATTTAGTAATAGAATTAACTTGTACAGTGTGATCCAATATAGTGTATTGACTGTCTGCAGTTGAAAAGGTAGTTATTTGGCTATATTAATTTTACAAGTCCTGCTGTTAGCCTGTTTTTCCACTAGTTCCAGAGCAAAGAGATTGAGCCTTCTACAGCAATTACAGACTACTTTGGCAAGCTTTAATGTGCTGTAGATAGAATACTCAAACACTGGGAGGTCATGTACAGATTTCTTGGGTCTAAGTCCTGAAGTTTAAAATGGCAAATTTTGCAGTTACCAAGCTATGATCTTAACACTCCATCCTGGCAATGTTTGACTTTACACACAACTTTATTTCCGTAATCTAAAGAGATTAAGTCCCACTCCCTGAAATAAGTATCAGTGCAAGATCATCCAGTCATGACAGCAATAGTGAACTGTGTCAAAACAGAATCCTTATCATCTGAGACAGTTTAACAAATTTAGCTGTAAAACAGGAAAGCATCAATAATAACTAATGACAGCTCTGTGCTTATCATAAATTCAGAGCTTGCTATGATAGGACAGTTGCTTCTCTAGGTATATGGTAGGGCTTTGAAGATGGATCTTCCTTAAGTCCTTGGTAGAGACAAAACTGTACATGGAAGTTGGCAACAATGGACAGAGTACAGAACTCAGATCTGGGGCAAAGATTTATTTCTAATGACCAATTGAGATAATTAAATGAAAGAACAGAATTAGCTCAGAAAAACTTCACCAACCTATATGCTAAGATGTGATGAGTGCTGGTTTGCTGCTGCCTGGGGTAAGGGTCAGAAGTGATGTCTGACAGCAATGAATATACTAAACGTTTCCCACTAAAGCAGTATTTCCCCTTTACTAGCCCACCAGCAAATTATAAAGAGTTCAGAATGAACAAACCTTCTTTGAAGCAACTTGTTAGCTTTCATCCCTACAAAGCTGTTTGAGAGTATTTAAGTATTTGAGATTAGAATTACTCTGCTACATACAGAGCCTTTGAGACTTGCTTGCATTCTTTTTGGGGGAAGGAGAGGAAAAAGGGGTATTCTTATGACAGTCACTAAGTGCCAAGAAAGCAGCAGTAGTTCCCTGTTGTCTAGTTTTTAATCCCTAGTTTTCTCAGAGAACATCTTTTTCTAAAGCAGCCTGGCATTCTTTAATTCCTCATCAGTTACCATAGAGAAAAGTTGAGACACAAATGGCTACAAAATGGCTATATCATGTATCTGATTGTGAGCAGCAGATCAGAGATCTTCAGTAATGCTTACTCTAGATGAGATGTATAAACTAGACAACTTCTGATCACCCCATTGAAGTTGGAGCCTCTCTTGAGTATGCTTCCTTCAGTCCTGGCATTTGATTTGTGCTATACGAGACAATTAACTAAATCAAGTCTTGTTAGGACAAGACAGGATATAATGTACTGCAAGACTTCAAATAATTGTCCTTAATCTATCTTTTCAGCTCATCTTCAGTTTCCAGGTTGCATACCATAGCATGTTTTGGACTAGTGTTTCGTAGAAGAGACAGTGTGGTAAGTCTAGCACACTTAGCTATTCAGTTGCCTTTCACCCTTGACTTGAATCAGGTTGTTCACTCAGAGTTTAACTGTGGTCTTGGTTCACTTGGTTGAATAGTCTGAGACATGTTCCTTTTCTCTGCGGAGGAATCTTCTGATCCCCTGGTGGGCAAATGAAAGGCTTTATTAAGCTCCAGTAGAGACTGAGTGGAGCCTACTGTCACAACATTTGCTAAGGCTGATTGCTACTTAACTCATTTAGCATCAGAGAAGCCTATAGATTTTTTTAAAAGAATCATTTGCAATGCAGTTTTTGCTTTCCACATCTTTAATCCAGAAGAGCCTGGCAGAGCTGACTGAATACAAAACACTTGCATAATTTTCAAGTGAATGAAAGAAGTTCGTGTTAGCAGCCCTGATACCCACCATTTCTAAAATTTAGCTAATTCCCTCAAAACTTCAGTTTAGGAATCAATCAGGCCTCATGGATTTCCAGGGGCAGGAGACATAGAAGACTAGGGAACATGCATAGACTAGTTCAGTCTTACAGCTCCAGCAAAGCCTCACTTCTTAATTCAAAGTGGTAATTTATTTCTCCTGGGGAGGAGGCAAATATATTAAAATCAAGTTATCAATAAAGACATTATGTAATCTTTACAAATGCCTGTACTCTGTAAGCACTTTCCAAGCTTCTGAATAGATAGAATGCTGCAACATGCAAGCAAGAATGTACAGGCTTGAGTATGTGCTACTTTTCTGTTTGGGGTCTTTTCCAGTAGTCCTTACTAAAGTTTGGCTACTAGTAAGCTTAAGGCTGTGCAATAATTACAAGAACTGCTTGTCTTAGGGAGGAATATGACAAAGTAGTCTTCCCCTCATCAGCTTCAAAATTTGGAGGACACGATCTGGTCAGTCACCTCAAACAAGACCAGCAACAATGGCTTGGAGCCACAGGGAAGAAGTTGAATGACTGAGGGACTAGGTACTCTTACTGGACATTCTAAGGTGTAGCATTACTTACATGACAGCAGAGAACACAGACGCAAGAAGGCCAGCAAGCAGAAGGAACACAAGAACACTTAGGATGGATGTAATAACAATCATGCCTCCACTCCTGTGACCAGGCCAGGTATCAATTTTCAAGGGAAGCTTAACTAGAAAAGCAGATTATAGAAACATTCTTCCTGTATTTTTGACCATGAATATCCCCACCAAAGAGGGGAAAGCTGGTGACTTAGGAGAAGCAAACTGATTATTTCTATGTCTGAAGTCTTAGATGACTTATGGGAAACAGATTTAAGACTCAGTGTCAGCATTTAGAGTTTATAAGCTTTGCTCAGCAGGATAGCCAGTATGACAAATATCTGTATTACTGACAAATGTCAACAGCACCACATACATGCATCAAATCTTAAATGGTATGCACAAATTTATCTTTAATTGAAGTACACAAGAGAAGTAGAGATTTATTCCCTATTTAAGTCTGCTACTCCAATATTGAAAGCCTGACAACATTATTAAAACTTTAGAAAAGGACTAGGTTTTGCTCATACAGCCAGTGTCCTAAGGCAAGTATAGCTACTCAAAAGATCTGTGCAAAGCCACAGACTTACCTCTTCTGGTTTTAATTGGATCAGACCAGAGAGTTTGGTCTTTCATGAAACCTTCAGTGGTATCTACCAACACATATTTAAACCTGAGGGGAAAAAGAGTGAAATTAGGTATTTCAAATTTGAGCTTCTTTACTAACATTTTAAAGCTATTGGATTAACTGGTGAGACTTCAGGTTTTGTCAAAGGACTAGATGGCAACCATCAAAGGTAATTGACTGTTCCCAGAGACCTTATAAAAAACAACTAGAATTAACAATGGAAAAGCATTCTGTGCTATGTCATGCACAATTTTCATTATGTTTTTGTGAACTTCCCAACAACAGTTTTTCCCAGCTTGCTATTTCCAGCTGTGAAGGGCCTGTTGTTTTGATTTCCATATGGAAGTCAAAGATTTTGTCCAATAATAGAGGTCTTTGGCACTTTCCCTGATAGAGTAGAGCACTGAAGAAAGAGACCAACATCACATTTAGCACAGAAATTAAATTTCCATTCCACAATAGTTTGAGTTTTCAGAAATGCCCTGAAGAGAAAGGGGAAGCAAGACAGTTTTTGCAAAACTATGTGCCCATACTACTTTGTTTCAGAAAGATATGTCTCCTCAGCAGATACAGCTCCATGTGACTGCCATTTTTACTACAGCTTTTAAATAGCTGACAACAAGTGTTTTAGCTAGCAGCTGTCAGGGTGCCTGAATTCCCTAGAACATCATCTTCCCCAAACATCAGGGGTCAGACAAGTCTGCAGGCCACCTGGCCCTCACTCTGAAGTCTCCACTCAGATTAGTGGCTTCTGGAGCTGGAGACCAAGGAGAACCTTGATTTTGTAGAATCCCATTAAAACAAAGCAAGCAGTGCCAGGTCCATGTCTGCAGTTTGGCAGAATCATCTAATACAAAAAACATGGTGAGTAATCTCAACATTATTTTCCAGTCAAAATCCTTTTCTACCAGCAGTTTCTAATCAGATGCGGTCACTGGACTGTCTACTCCAACATAGGTATGGGTCCAGCAGTTCACACATGAATTTTCCTACTGATCCATGAATTGAACCTGATAGAGTTCAGCATTGGTCCATCTGTGGGATTCTAGTCCAAAGCCAAGCCATCTTTGTAGCTACCTTGCAATACAGCGTTTCAGTTAGGGACAGGTAATTCACATCATGCCTTTACAAAGGAACATCACGCACTTGATTTTGTTTCTTATTGTGTTTTAAGAGCAGCAGTCATCTTGTAAGAAGTAAGTATTATACCTGTACGTTGTGTCTGGTGCAAGAGGTGGGTTACAGACAGCTAGGAAGTTTGGGTCATACAAACAAGTCACATCATCCCCAACTCTGAAAAGGTATTGTTTCAGGACATCAGAAACTTTGTTGACATCTCCCACATGAGCAAGTTTTGGAGGTGATGCACAGTTGGGGACATTGAACAAGGCAGCCTTGTAAGGTCCAAGCTGTCCCCCACTTGTTTGTTGGAACGTGCTGTCAAGTGGTTTGCTGTTGTTGTCAGTCACCCGGGAGCTTATTGCGCTTGCTGCAAGAGAGATTATTTTTAACAAGGTTGTTAGACCTACTTCAACCCTTTCCATTAACCTTGTATTTACTTGGCAACTTGCTCTTCTACCCCAAAACACCCAAAAGGGAAACACAAATTCTGCCACCAGTTTGGCTGTGTAGCGATCCTACCTCTTCCTCCTTATTTTTTGATGAAGCTGTTTACCCTTGTTGCTCAGAAGCTGTGAGGTATCCACAACATGTCTTAGTGCAGTACTTTTTAGTATCCACCCACCCAAAAGTCCTCTTTTCCAAGGAGAATCTGATGGAGTGGGTGGAGTGTGGCAAAGGCTGCTCTTCCCACATGCCACACATGATACCAATAAATATCACCTAAATCTTGCCATTTCAGGTTTGATAGCCAAGGCAGAGTTCCTATAGATTCACAACCCAGCCATCTCCTGGAGTAGAAATCCTTAGAGTTCTGGTCAGAGAAGGGCTGCACCTCCCAGAACCAGCAGTATCTACATTTCTGGCCAGCCAGGCATGTCACTGCTTCCAGGCAGGATGCCACAGCAAGTCTGAAAGTCCACACTGCTTCAAGCAAAGCGTGGATCTTCACACAGCCCTACAGCATAGTTCAGAAGCTCATTTCTAGCTCTCAACCCTTTCCTGCTGCAAAGCCAAGGCTAAAGTCCCAAAAATACTCTCCAGTTCTGCAACTGTGGGTTAATTTTTTATTTTTTTTGGGGGGGGGGTGGCGGGCCTGCAGTTCATTGCTGTCAGCAGTGAAGGAACAACAGGTCTTCCAAAGCTGTTTTACATTGGGAACTGGTTTAGATTGGAAGCTGCTGTGCTCCTGGAGCAGAGTTCTTGCAACATTCAGCTTTGTAGTATGCTGACATTTTCTTACCAGCAGAGCTGAACATAAGGTGTTAAGAAACTTAAGTTTTCTTAAATTTCCCTTCTCCCTGCTCCAGGAGGCATCCAAGGGTGAATCACTGTTCTTTTCTCCAGACCAGAGACAAATCCAAACAAAATTCCTCCCAGTCTGCCAAGTAACAAGTTTGCATCTGCTTGCCTTAAAAGCAGCAACAGAGATTTCTCTTTTGGAGGTATTTGCCCATCTGTGTAGGAAGCTTTTGCCACAGAATCTGTAGAAGACAGAGTACCTGATGTAGTTTCTAACACAAAGCACCAGATAGATTTGTATTCTTGCAGGTGTAACAAGGCTATCAGGTCGGTGTAGCCTTTTATATAGTTATATTGCACTTGTAGTCTGTTTCAGACAGAAAAAGATGTGCATTTCAGTTGTGAGATGTCTCTCATTAGACCGTGCTTTCACAATTGTCTACATTAGCTGTATGGGGTGGTATCTCTACTTACAGTTTCTACCCATCCAAGGCCTATTCCTTCCACCTTATCCAAAGCAGCAACAATTGGCAATGGAAGTTTTAAGGCTGTTTTGTCTGTTGGCCAATTTCATTACCGTCCTCCTCAATGTCCTCTTCTCTGTGCCTTTCAGAGAAGGATACTGCACACAGCCTCCAGGGGAGAGAGTGTGATATAAGGAAGTAATTTATTTCTGTCAGCTTATGGAGTAGCTCTAGCTTGGCATTCAAAACATTCTGCCAGAGCAGCAGGGAACGGAGAAGTTGATCACTGCCAGCAATGTTTCATTGCCAAGCAGTTAAGAAATGCATTTTATGAATGAACCAATAGGCCAAGCATCTTTGACCACAAGTATAGCATGACTTGCCTTTGTCTACAAAGATAAGGTATTGGACTGTGGAGCACTGGTTTTCATTAGAAAGATTTGGGCAAACATTTGTAGCTGATAGTGCTGCTCCACACCTACTGGGCGCTAGCTACCACAGTACTAACCCTTGCTATTAGCCCCATTTAAATACTACAGCAGTTTCATTATCTTTTATAATGATACTCTAGAGAAAACAGACCAGAGGCTCAACTTGCACATCGCTTACAGCTACAGATGTTTCTCTTTTCCCTTCTTCAGACTGGCTTCCATTACAATGTGAAGAATTGCATGCAATGGCCCCATCAAGTAGCTATCTTTCAGAGAGGCAAAATACTGGATCCTTACCCAATTCCTTCATTGCATACAAGTAGATGACGTAGGATTTGTTTGGACTCAATGAGCTGTCAAACACACAGAAAGGCTTTTCTAGAGTGACTGTAGTAAGAGTGGGATTGTTTGTAGCAAGCTGAGGGGCTGCAATCTGAGGCTTCAGGCTTTGATCTAGTGGAGAAAGGTACAAAAAATATTATGAAAAAAATCTTTCTCCTCTCCCCCTGCAAGCTCTGACTGGCAGTGCTAACAAACAACATTAAAGCATGAAAGGGGGATGTGAACTGCAGCTGAGCAGAAAACGACCTACCTGCTCTGTGGAAGTGTGAGGGTTGGGGTCTTTGCTTTAATAAAAAATGGAGAAGCCAGGGACTTAGGGAGGAAGAGGTGTTGCTCCTCAAACATACAGGGCACATCACCTCAGAAAGACAAAGGCAAAGGGGATACTTGAACCTTCATCTTTAGAGTCACATATACAGCCCCCCCCTCCCTCCAGTGGAAGCATGATCTTCCAGCAGAATAAATGTTTGTAGCCCTAAACCCCTCCCAAGAGAGGTCCTAGAGTGGAGAGTTAACACACAAGATGAAACAACAAAGGAAGAGATACAAAAAGAGAAACAACAAAAAAGGAGAGGACAGTGCAGATAGAGGCCACTTACCTGCACGCAGCTGTCCCAAGCAGCAAACCACTAATGCAACCCAACGGCTGCACATTCTTGAGACCTCCAGAAACCTTCCACAAAAGGGAAAACAGTGCTGGAAAGCAGCCCCCACCTCCACTTTAAGTGAACCACACCTGTTCCTTTCCACACAGTCCTCTCAGGTAGGAGCTGCCTACCCCCTCAGCACCTCCCTATATGCTTACTGTCCCCTCCTTTTCAGGTGTCACCAATCCTCCCCACTCCCCTCCCCAGCTATTATCTACTCCCAGGTGAGGAAGGGTGTAGCAGCTTTGATTTCCACCTGGTAGTGGGCACTACTGTAGCTCTCCGAAGTAGAAAGATATTTTTTTAAATATTTTTTTCCCCTCATCTGTGCTAGGGATAGGTGGCTTTGCTCTTCACCTTCTTCAGTCTAAAAGGTTTTGAAATCTCTCATGTAGGAAAAATTTGGAAGTGAATATTGGAACCCTGTATGTTGTCTGCATCGTGTGTGGTTCTGTTCCAGAGTTCTGAATTTGGGTAGCCTTAATAGAGGCTACAGTTGCCTTCTGAAATGTGTTTCCTGGGTTACAACCTGAAAAGCGTAAGCCTTCTGGTTAACCCTAATGTGATTCAGGACATCTACGTGAAGAGCAAACTACTGGGAAGTCTGAATGTGACCTGTTGTACCGAGTTGTTCAGCTGAGAATATTCTTGATGAGTAATTGCTATTATGAATGGTCTATTGCGTAAGAGCTCAGGCTACAAAATTATTAATCATTGACTTAAAATAGGCTGAGGTTAAAAAAAAAAAATCAGTAAAATTTTACAGAATTAATGGTGCCAACATGCTGTCACTGCAGCAACTCCAGATTTACACTAATATAACTGCAGTTACATTACCAAATCCACCTCCTTTATGGATATGGCCATGGGCCCCAGAAATCTGTTTGAAATACGTAATCATATGATTATAATGCAATTTCCTCCCCATATGTGTCTCATTTTCTTTCAAATTCTGCATGTCATCTTCAGCATGTTTGGTTTGACTTTTTTCTCACACTATTTTTGAGGGAGAATGTTGAATACAGGAGTTACCCTAGATTTGCACTGCTATAGAATAAGAATGAGTTGTGTTATTTTTTTCTCACTGTACAACGCATTCGTAGCCTGTGCTGGCATAAATACTCAGGTAAATCAGATTAAGCCAGAAAAGATCTTACGCTTCTGCGTTTTATTCCTAGGAATCTGATTTTTAACATTTACACTAGAGGGGTTAGCTGTACAAATCTGGTACTGGTCTGCCCATGAATGTTTTTATCTCTTAAAGTAGTATAACTGCACCAAAACTGTAAAGTTTCTGACTCCACAGTAAAAGAAGAGCTTAAGAACAACAAGATGTATTTCTCTATCAAAAAACTAGTCCTATCTTCAAACAGTGATTCCTGTAAATTCAGATCCTGATTTCTTTAGACAGATAAGCCTTTCAGAGCAATCAGCAGTGGCTTTTTTTTTTTTTTTTTCCATTTAAGACAGAAAATAGACACATTATTTGCCTAATTAAAAAAAAAAAGACACCAGGACATAATGAATGAAAGAGAAAAGGAAATGTTCTGCTTCGTTGCATGCACACACTTGCATGTGCTACAAAATACTCCTCCCATTTATTTAAGAAAGCACTGCTCCCTCATTCACTTTCTAAAGCATCAACACAGACAACAGAAGAAAGTAGTCATTTTAAAACCCAACAGATTATGGCCCGGAATCACAACAAAATTTCTGATTTAAAGGTATACACACACACACACATATATATAATATTCACAGCCATAAACCAAAAACTTCAGCATCTATTACACAAAACTCTGCCTGACCTTCTTGGTGTGTAGCCTGGATGAAGAATGTGCCAAACTGCTCTGTGGGCTACAGTAATGCAAACAGTTACTCACATAATGAATTTCACATCAGCCAGGAGTATGTCAATAGAGCTGCTCATCACAGAAAGTTAATCAACTTAAAGGTGTTTACAGAATGACAATTTTAGACATATTTTTTTCACGAGGCTGTTTTTTAAAGCCATCAAAATTTACTTGAGTACAAGGCCATCTTGTGCTCTAGTGGAATTCACCAGTCATAATAAGGGGGACTAATATTGCCTGTGTTGCAAGATTTTAAAATTGCTGGGTTTGTTCCCTGCTCAGAAGAACCTCCAACAAAGTCTGAAAATTAACAGGACAATAAACTCTCTCAGCTCCATCTGTGCTGGCAGATGTGTCCTAAATTAGGACCAGATTTCATCCTTGCTTACACTTGTGTAAATCCATATTAACTCTGCTGAAGTCAGGGGAGCTTGTCTGGATTTAAAGGATGTTACTGTGAACAAACTTAACCTCAGTATAATTACAGTGTTCCCTGAAGGAAGTGCAAGACAAGAAATCAATGTAAATTCTGATGTCTTTGTTTAAGCAATAATACCAATTTTCTTGTAGCATTGTGGGAAATTCTGGAGTAAATCATAGAAGCCCCCAGACTCAGTTTGGATTGATGGCTCCAGGAGAACAAAATTTTCCTGTAGCCTTGGCTTTCTAGGGCTGTGTGAAGCCCGTAAGGTTTTGAGAAGGATGAGGTCTGAAGTCTGAAAAGGCTGTGAAATGTATGGAACCCTGCAAGATCAGAAGTCCACGCCTTCTAGCTAACAAAACTAACACTAGAGGCAATATTGGTCCACTGATGAATGAGGTGGGAGCCCTGGTGACAGAGGGTATAAAGAAGGCAGAGGTGCTGAATGCCTTCTTTGCCTATGTCTTTACTCCTGCAGGATTTCCCCATGAGCCCCAGATTCATATAGCCCCAGAAGAAGTCAAGATAAAGGAGGC